CACAAGTTTCTGTGGGGGCGGGAGGGTCAGGTGCTGGATAAGGGGGACTAGGCAAAGGCTGCAACGCTAGAAGGTGTGGGCTGCATGAAGACAAACTTAGGCTAGAGAGGATGATAGGCAAGTCCGACGATGGAGAATGGTCTGGAGAAGGAGCAGCATGGGCTTTGTTAAACATGTGAAAATTCATCAAATAACACATGTGCGATAAAAAAAAAACACGATTAGAAACAAGATCCAAGCATCGATAACTCTGATGGTTCAAAGAATAACCAAGAAACATACATTTGGAAGACCGAAATTGTAATTTATTATTATTATATGGTCGTAAATAAGGAAAACATGCGCACCCAAAAGTTTTTAAAAACGAATAATCAGGTTTTTTGTGAAACAATAATTCATAGGGTGATTTGTGCTGAAGCAACTTAAAAGGAAGATAGTTAATTAAATCAACAGCAGTGTGCACGGCCTCGGCCCAATAGGAAGGAGGCATAGAGGCATGGGCTAAAAGAGTGAGCCCGGTGTCAACAATGTGATGATGCTTACGTTCGGCTAAACCATTTTGCTCAGGATGATGTGGACAAGAAAGACGATGATGAATGCCATGATGAGATAAAAAAAAAATCCATAAATTGATGACTAGTGTATTCCCCACCCCCATCGGATTGAAATGACTTAATCGTAGTGGAAAACATATTTTCAACCAAAGCCTTAAATTTAACGAAGTGAGAGAAAACTTCTAATTTTAATTTCATTGGAAAAATCCAAGAATAAAGAGAAAAACCATCGACAAATAAAACAGAATAATTAAAACCAAAAATAGATTTATTTGAAGAACTCCATACATCAGAGTGAATAAGTTCCAGCAGAGAAGAAGAGATAGAAAAAGGACTAAAAGGTAATTTAACACTTTTACCCAACGGACATGATTGACAAAAAGAACTAGACTGAGAGCCAGAAGATGGCAGTTTATTATGAGATAACAACAATTACAAAGTAGACGAAGCAGGATGACAAAGGCGAGAGTGCCACAAGGAGCGGTCAACACGGACACCTAGTAAAGCAACACGATTAGGCAAAACTTGAAAAGACTCATTCGGTGTAAATGAAAAGGGATGCTCAAGAAAAGTGTCTTCCCCGTCGCCAAATCCTGGATAAAATAACAATCAGGAAAAAACGTGAAGAAACAATGGTTGTCAGTAGCAAATTTATGAACAGATAAGATAGGAAGAGAGGCATCAAGACAGTGAAGAACATTATTAAGATGAAAAGAAGAATTAAGGTAAGAGAAACGAGAGTGACCAATATTTTTAATAGGCAAACCTGTTCCACCACGTACACCTCCAACATTATCAAAACTATGATACTCTCTAATAAGGGATAAGTGGCTCAAGTCGTTGGTAATATGAGTGTTTGCACCGGTATTAGCAACCCACTGTTGATGGCCACCATGCGAAGGATATTGAGCAATCATGCCTTGAAGACGAGACGGAGAAGGAGGCACAGAAGACACCTTGAAGGGACAGACAGCTGCGATGTGGCCAAAACCATGACAATTGAAACATTCAAGAGGTTCATGGGCTGAAGGAGGCCCAAAAGAGGAAGCAATAAAGCCAGAAGGAGGTGGGCCAAGAACACCCGGCCCAAAAGTGCTGCCAAAACGTTGTTGATGTAAGGCAGGACGAGAGGTGCCATAGGAAGCACCAGGGGAACCGTGACAAGGAGAAAAACCAGGTCAGGAGGGAGAGAATGAGTTGCAACGATCCGAACCACGACAAGCAAATCCACCGCAATGGCTAAAACCGAGGCCACCGCGACCACCGTGGAAAGCTACCAAAGCCATCACACCAGAAGAGATGACTAGAGAAGAAGAGGATTGCAAGCGACGTTCCGCAGACAAGATGAGAGCCTCAAGATCAGGCATACTGATGGGTTTCTCACGAGCTTGAGCAGCGGCAACAGTATTTTCATAAAGAGGACCAACGTTGTTCATAACCACATCAAGGAGATCATAGTCAGCAACTGAAGCACCTACCATAGCCAAGTTATAGGCAATCGAGTTAATACGATCAAGGAAATCAGTGATGGAAGAGTCACCATGGGTTGTGCGAAGCAAGTCACTACGAAGTTGAAGAAGACGATTCTAATTCGGAGAAGCAAAACGATTTTCAAGAGCCACCTAAGTGTCACGGGCGGTGGTCTTTGTGAAGACCCGTATTTTAAAAGGATAAAATATATATATATATATATATATATATATATATATCATTTGGATAAACTTTGACGATATTATTTTTTTAAGATATTTATCTTTTGGATAAACTTGGATGATAATATCTTTTTAAGATATTTATCTTTTGGATAAACTTAGATGATCTTATCTTGTCAGGTTATTTATTTTTTTGGATAAACTTGGATGTTCTCATCCTTTTAATATTGAAGTTTATCCTATCTCTATATACACTATAAATAGGAGCATAACCTTATATTTTCAAAACATGAGAAATTAGAAAAGAAATTTAGAGAGAGAGAGAGAGAGAGAGAGAGAGAGAGGAGGAGATTTGGGAATTAGCTTGTATTTTCTTAACTTGGAGTAATGCTTTGGAATAGAGGTAGGGATTTCTTGGGGTGCCTTTACGGGGATTGATCTAATTAAATTTCGTGAGCACTATATTATGCGTGATATTATAACTTGATGGATGTTCTTGATATTATAATGTTCTTGATATTGGGTGTTTACATGTTGTTAATTATTTAATTAATGTTGGCATGATTATATGTACATTGGTGATATTTAAATGATTACATTGTTTTTATGAGATATGTGAAAAGAAGAACTATATCATGTCATGGAAATTAGTTGGAGATGTTGGTTGGAGAAAATAATGATGGAAAATAGGGTAATGAAAATAGTCTTTTGTGTAGTTGAGTCTAACTCTTGGCAGGTATCAGGTCTTAGGGATCCCACAGTGCACATGGTTTTTATTGAGTGATTCAGGACTGGTGACAGGGAGTTAGACAAGATGACTAACAAAATGGGAATTATGGGATGATTGAAATGGGTGTTAGTTCATATAAGTGGGCATTCAGGGCCAAGTGGTATAAGCATAGTATGGGACGTGCAGGTCTGCTTGTCCAATTATATGAACTAACGGGATTAGATGAAGAGCATTCATACATTATTATTAATAATGTGATATTTGGATGTGTGATTGCATGTCACTTAATTTAGTTATATCAATCTACTGTGGTAATGTCTCATGTCCCTACTGAGCGGTGGTTGCTCATCCCTCACCTTGTTTAATTTTTCAGATGAATTAGTGGGCAAGACAAGGACTAAACCAGTTGAAGCTGAATTAGATGAGAGGGATATAGCTTTATTTATTAATTGTAAAGTTGTAAGATTTTGGGAGCTATTGTTATAAGAAAAGTTTGTTTTATGTTCTAGCTTATTTTTATTTTATTTTACTCACGCACCGGGTGCGAGATTTCCACCGACCCCCGGGTCCGGGGCATGACAGTCTGGGAAGTTACGGTGGTGAGAACTTTATGGTGAAGAGAACCGTTGATGAGAGAGAGAGAACAAGTTGATCTTTCTGGACCCAATCATCATACTCTGGGTTGGGGATGAGAGATGGAGAAGCAGATTCATTGGCCTTAGCCTTTGGGTCGGGCATGGTTAGAAAAGGACACTGAGAAGTGCCGTCAACAAAGCCAAGCAAGCAGCAGCTGCGAAGGACAGGAACAATTTGAGCAGGCCACGTTGGATAATTATCACGCTCGAGACGAATGGAGATAACATGATGAATGCTAGGAAAATCAATAGAGGAGGAAGAAGCCATGGGTGCTCCAAAAAAAAACAGGGAACAAGAAAATTAAGGATCGAGGACTGTGAGTCTCTGGCTCTTGATACCATGAAAGGTTTTGAATATTCTCGATGATTTTCATTGAACAATCATGTGATAATTATATACAATGCTTTGCTTGGTGTCTACACAAAGGATTTCCTATTCCAGGCAAGAATCAAGTCCTCGAGATACAAGGAATATAAATAGCAAATCAATGAAATAAATACAAATAAAACAAGAAACTAAATCACGTCTCATTATGTGTGCCCTCTTGGGTTTCTGCCCTTGGTGTGTTTTTGCAATTTGTTGGCTGTCAAAGGACTATGCATTTTTTTCTCATAGATTGCCTATTTTGACAATTGGGATGTGATGTGGTTCTCTTTGTGGGTCTACTATGTTGGTGTTTAGTTAGTTGTATTCTTTTGTGGTGTGGGTCAGGCTCTATTGTTGGTCCTTAGTTTATCCCAAATAGTTTTCTTAGGAACGTTTTAATAAGGCTATTGTATTCATGCCAGTCTTTGTATGCCGATTTGGCTTATGAATGAAATCTTCTTCTCAAAAAATACTTATTCAAAATTTTACATATATGAATTATAGTAATATTAATTTAAACCTCATTTAGTATCACTCCTATCAAGTAGGCCCTCTTCTAATTTTTAGAAATTAAAACCCATGCTATGCTTTTTTTTAGTTCTTTTTTAGAACACTATTTTTTTTATAAAAAATTTAAGTTTAACCATAGCAGACAAAAGAATACGCCCATCCCTCATCCACCAAAATTGCTCATTCCAGACTTATCCTTATAGTAATTTATTTTTTTATTTTGTGCTGAATACTAATACTATATAGCTGGACTTTGCTACAATTAAAACAATGTAAGCAACTCGTCAGGAGAAGCTTGATCTCTGGGATTCAGTTGCACAACATAACCAGAATGCTAGCTCCTCCTTCTTCCCTACTCAATAATGCATAGATTATATACACAAACACATCTTATTTCTTTAAACACTAATTATTATTATTATTATAATTATTTTAGAGTGGTGATTTCCTCACTCCAATTTTATTCACTTACACTCCATTTTATAACTAAAAAAAGAGTGTAAGTGGATAAAAAGAGAGTGGGGAAATCATTACCCTTATTTATTAGCTGAGATGGAGCTGCGAGGCAGGTGGTAAGCAGTGACATTTTCTATTCATGTGTGTGGGGTTCGCATATGAAAGCTATATATTCACCACACGATACAAATTACGATACAAGATTGGAAAGTGCATAAAGGCAGAGGATACAAAAGACCTATCACGCGCGCCTCACAGAAAGGAGCTGCAGTTGCTTGGTTTGGATATAAAATTCAGTCAGTCAACTATGATTCTTCTGGGAACTCATTGACTGCTAATCTTGGCCTCATCAAGAAATCCTCCCTCTACGGACCTGACATCCCAAATCTCAACCTTCACGCCAGGTACTTCGTAATTAACCATTCTCAATTTATTAAGTTTATATTCCCACGTTTTCATTTTTTTTAATTCTCATTAGTCATTGGGGGTTGACCGTTTGATTAGGATATTGCAAAACATCTCAACCGTCCATAATATAGTATATCTAGCTAAGACCCTTATTGACCAAAAACCCAATTAGCATTTTCACTCCACAATATTAGCCATACAAATTGCTCTCTTATTTACTAGACGCTTGCCATACTTTCTTAAACTCAGATTACATAACATTAATATGCATTACTAGGCCATCAATGATTCAGATTCACAGTCTTACGACATAATTAAATGTAATCAAACGGAGACAAGTTTTTCACAAATTTATGTTATAAATCTAATTGGCCCTTGTGCTGCTAATCATGGATGCAGCTATGAAACCAAAGATCGGCTAAGAATTCGAATAACAGACTCAAAGCACCAAAGATGGGAAATCCCACGACAAATAATCCCCCGCCAAACAACTTCACAGCATTCACAGCAATGTCAAACCCACAACAAACACCTCCTGATCTCCAACGACCTTGTCTTCACTCTCCACAACACCACCCCATTCGGCTTCACCGTCACCCGCCAATCCTCCAACGACGTCATTTTCGACGCCTCCCCGAACCCATCAAACCCCGACACCTTTTTGGTCTTCAAGGACCAATACATCCAGCTCTCCTCCTCCCTCCCCAAAGCTAGGTCCTCCCTTTTTGGTGGTGGAGCAGTATACAGAGCTCATTGGTCGCCCTACCCCTATGCCCTATTGGTCTTTTGGTAAGTTTGTTTGCACTCAAATTCCACTTTTCTTACATTTCTCGAATCGCATTTCACATGTGACATCAATTATTATGACTAAGAGTATATGTCATTTGTACCATCTCAACTAATCATGTTTTTGTATCTGCACTTATTAGTAGACAGGCGCTATGTCACATGACCAGTTGAAATGGTACAAATAGTTTTGTTCTTCAATTGAAATGTGCATATATAGTCCTTGTTTGATATTAACATGGTCCAAAAATGTCCTTCCTACTAGCATAGTACGCTTTTTCATCTTATTTTGGAATCACATTGACTTTGTTCACTTATTCTCTGCTGAAGGATTCCACCAGTGTCGATATGGTTACAAGAATGTTTCCGATCTTGAGGGTGTGGTTGCTGGCTATGCAAAAGCCGCTATCCCCCTTGAAGTTATGTGGACAGACATTGATTACATGGATGCATACAAGGATTTTACTCTTGATCCCATCAACTTCCCATTGGATAAGATGAAGAAATTTGTCAACACCCTTCACCAAAATGATCAGAAATATGTGCTCATCTTGGACCCTGGTATGTTCACTCTGCAGCAAAATTGATGTTACATGCATTTTGTCTGATGAGGCAGAAAATGATAGTATTATGACTCTCACAGGTATCAGTGTGAATAAGAGCTATGGAACCTACAACAGAGGGCTGAAAGCAGATATATTTATAAAACGTGACGGAATTCCTTACCTGGGAAGTGTTTGGCCTGGCCCTGTCTATTTCCCTGACTTTGCACATCCACAAAGTGAAAAATTTTGGGCTAATGAGATAAAAATATTTCAAGATGCTCTGCCTTTCGATGGTCTTTGGCTTGATATGAATGAGCTATCCAATTTCATCACGTCCCCTCCCACTCCATCTTCTACACTTGATGACCATCCTTACAAGATTAACAATGCCGGGGTCCTGCGTCCGATCAATAACAATACTGTTCCAGCATCAGCGCTACACTTCGGTAACATCACAGAATATGGTGCTCATAACTTATATGGACTCTTGGAATCCAAAGCAACAAACAAGGCCTTAGTCAGTGTGACTGGTAAAAGACCATTTGTACTTTCTAGATCAACTTTTGTAAGCTCTGGTACGTACACAGCACACTGGACTGGAGACAATGCTGCAAAATGGAGTGATCTGGCATACACAATTCCAGCAGGCAGTGGATTCAGGTAACTTATGAGCCTTCAAATTGGACACTTCACAAAACCTAGACTACATTATACATCTTGTTTTACCTAGAACTTTGCTATGCTGTCAATTATAATCATCAGAATTTGTGCAACAAACTTAACTATGCTTTGTCTCTATGCAGCTAGGGGCCTTTTACCCTTTTGCAAGAGATCACTCAGAGAAGTTTACAATCCGTCAAGAGCTCTATCTTTGGGACTCAGTGGCTGCAACGGCAAGGAAGGTGCTTGGCCTGCGCTATCGGTTGCTCCCCTTGTTTTACACATCAATGTATGAGGCACACAAAAAGGGGACCCCCATTGCAAGACCCCTTTTCTTCTCATTTCCTCAAGATATCAGAACTTATGAGATCAACACTCAGTTTCTGATTGGCAGAGGTGTAATGGTGTCACCTGTGTTGAAGCCAGGAGTAATTTCAGTTGATGCATATTTTCCTGCAGGAAACTGGTTTGATCTCTTCAACTACTCAAACTCGGTAAGTGTAAAATCGGGGGAGCACATTACATTGGATGCACCACCTAATCATATCAACGTACATGTCCGTGAAGGAAACATTTTGGCCTTACAAGGAGAGGCCTTGACAACAGAAGCAGCCCGAAAGACTGCATTTGAACTTTTGGTTGTTAGCAGCAGCAATGGACAGAGCACTGGAGAAGTTTTCTTGGATGATGGATAGGACGTGGAAATGGGAGGAAAGGGAGGCAAGTGGAGTTTAGTGAGATTTTACTGTGCAACAGAAAATGGAAGTGTATCTGTAAGATCAACGGTTGTAAGTGGAGGATTTGCTTTAAGCCAAAAATGGATCATTGATAAAGTTACCATCATTGGGTTGGACAAGGTTGATGGATTGGAAGGGTATGCATTGAACATTACTAAGGGAGCAAACTTGAAGGGAGGACACTCAGATATCAGGGCCAGCTTTGGCAGCAATAAGCGATTCGTCATGGTAGAGATTTCCAGATTATCCATTCTTATAGCAGCAGATTTTGACTTGGAGCTGAAGTATTGATACTAGTGAAAATTAACACTCTTCTAGAGAGAGAACAATAAGTTACATGCCATTCAGATTTATGGCTCCCCTGGAAGACATGTTTTATGCATCACCTCTAATGTTGGAACATTTTTATTTTTATTTTTCTAATAAAACACAGTCAAAAATGAAATGACAGATTGGCAACAGAAAACATCTTGAAAGGAGGATAGGTCTAACAAGATAACTGTTAATTCTCCAACCAATTACCCGAACCCAAACACTGAACCAACAACAGAGAAGACATTCCTTGATTAATATTGATGTCAACCAAGTACAGCAAATCACTCATGTTGATGTCAACTCCAAAAACCAAAAACCAGTACATTTTTACTGGCCTTCATCATTTTATCTGTTCAACAAATCAATTTATTATTATTATCAGAAATATGACATAAGATATATCAAATTGTCAAACGGCACTTTGCCAAAAACTGAAAGTGCAGGGAAGAAATCTGGAGGGGGAAATGCAACAGTATAAAAGAAATTTGTTGAACCAGAATTATGAAGTGTTCAGTATACTCCGACAAATATCAACCTAAACAGAAAAGCACAATCATTCAAGATCATCCCCAAAAAAATAAAAAAAATTGAGAACATTGAATAAACATAAATTCTGAATAATACAATAAAAATTCAGTAAATATACAGCAGCTTAAACTTAGAACTGACACACGACATGCATGTAGCAGTAGGTAGTAGTAATCCCTCAATCATTTAACCATACCTTGATTAATACAAATTCAAATAACCATACCTTGATTACCATGTCCAAATTAATATGCTTCCTGGCGAGCTTGCTTGATGATCTGCACCTATTTCACCTGCATATATATATCTACAAGGAAATAAACCCAAATTAATAGGTTTGTATTACCCCTCTGCCCATTGTCCACTCTAAGACTTGGAAATCATCAGAGGGGTAGTGAAATAAATCAAATTAAATTCCCGATCGAAACTCTTCCTCCCCATAAAAGAATTCTCCAATCCAAACATCTGAACAACACATTTTCACTGCAGGTTTCATATTTAAACAATGAACCAAACTGAAATGTGAATCGATCAATGACAACATATCAATAATATAAGTACTCATGAATCAACGAGCTAAGAGTTACTTTAACTAGTATGGTATAGGGCTTGTTTTGGTGAATGAAATTTGTGAGAGGCGACGCATTCCCAATAAGTCAAGTACACTGATCAAGTCCTATTTAGTCTTATTCAAGCCTCTACACTTGAAGTCAAATAGAGTGAACTCTAACTCAATGTCAATACAAAGTTTTTTCTTTTTTAAAAGGACGTTTGTATAGCGGCTTTCACATTATAAGGGTGGTAGCCCTCTCCATTAGAAATTAAGTGCGCACCTACTCTAATGGTAGCTTTCACACAATCCTCATGGGTAGCCCTCTCCATGTTTGCTAAATGGTGTACTAGCCTCACAAAATAGGAAGCCGTTAATGTGGTAGCTTTCACTCTATTAGGGTGGTAGCCATCTCTGTTAGAAATGAAGCATATACACCTACTTACCTCAACATTAGCTTTCACTCAACCCTAATAGGTAGCCTTCTCCTAATTTATTGTGTACACCAATTTTATATAGGTAGCTTTCACACCATTAGGGTGGTAGCCCTCTCCATTAGAGATTAAGTGCGCACCCACCTAAATGGCAGCTTCACACATCCCCTACATGCAGCCATCTCTATACATAAACCCTCCTTGAAACGTAACATTGGTGGTCAATCGAGAGTCTTTTTACAAGACTTGGAAGGGTTTACTCTATTGGTCAATCTAGAGTCTTTTACAAGACTAAAAAGAAGAACTTTAATGCTGACTAAATCAAAAATACACCCCCTCACACTTTCACAAGCCTATGACCAAACTAGTTCTAGAATGCAGCTTAGCTCATTGATTCCAAGTGTATAATGGAATTTTTGTAATTGTCAGAGACCTATCAAATGTTTTTAAGAAATATTTT